AAGGAGTCAGAAAGTTTACCCTGCCAGTGTAACTCTTTAGTCTGGACAGCACCCAAAGCCACAGCCAAACCCGAGGGAAAAGATAAAGGAACTTACATCTCAATCATATCAACCAAAAGGCAATAACCACAAGAGCCTCGCAAGCAGGAAACAAGCTAAGTAGGATGAAAACAACCAGTTCCAAGCCAATTTAAAACAGACCACCATCAAAACTAATTGGAGGAACATGTTGGCAACAGCCTACTTGGGAAAACAGGACAGAAATGAAAGAAATCATCTGTGAGAATGTTTTATGCACCCAGCCTGTAAGCTGCTCATAAAATCAAACCCTGAGAATCCAGCAGCTAAGCTACATGCAGAAACCAGCTCTAAAGAGGAAACAACTGAAATGACCCACCATGATTCAGACAGTGAACCACCAGGGAGCAGTCAGAAAGGAACCAGAGAATGGTGCCCGGAAGGGGGACAAACCCACTGCAGAGCCAGCCACACTGCTACAAACTTTTGAGTGATATTGCATGCCTAAAGGATGGGACCTGCCCAATGAACCTGAGAAGCTTGGCAAAATCTGGTCACATAGCTCCAACATAGCGCTGATGCATCTGGATATACAATGAGGAACAGATGAGGAAGGTGTCACAGAATCAAACCCCAAAAGGCAGAGAGGAAAAACCTGTGAAATAAAAACTGGTAAAGTTCCCATGGTACTTGCACCCAATGATCACAGTGGCAGTGAAAAGGATAGCACTAGAGAAATCAAAACAATCCCCAGAGGCAAACCCCGCTGATAGGGAACACCACAAAGGTTCCCACACAACCACTCGACCAACCCCCAAGAAATCTGGGACTTTACCAACATCAAACAAAAACAAGCCTGCAATCCGAGCAGAGCCACTGCCAGCTAGGAAAGGGAAGCTGACTGTGAATTCAAGACTAGACCCATAATGTTCAAAACCAGGAGGAAGCCAACTGCGATGTCCTCCAGAACACCAAGAAACAAAACCATGCAAGCTGGGGAAAGGATCAAATCCTGGCTTAGACATGTATTCTTGCTGAGAGCCCAAACCAGTCAGTCATCGAGGTAGGCCAAGAGATGGACACTTACAAAATTCTGCCAGGGAAAATATTCTAAGTAAAACCTGGGAAGAAGCAAGGAACCAGAATCCAGCCTCATAGAAGAGTCCAATAGCAGGAAACCTGAAATCCTACAACAAACTGTAACTAGTCTTCAAACCTTGGATATATAACAGAATGCCAAAATGTGTCACAGAGGTCCAGGGACACTAACCAGGAAAATTGTTTGCTACACCAGGCAGAGCTGAGCTAGGTGAAAAATTGAGAACCTAAGATGGTGAGAACTTACTTTAGGGCCATGAGACCTGCAAAGAGACCAGGCATAACTGGGACACCTAGCAAAGAGTTCAACTAACCCAGAGTTCAACCAAGATGTGGAGGAGAAAGCAAGGCCACGGGGCCCTCAAAACTGGAGAAGGGGGGGACCAATGACCACTACCATCATGTGTCCATGGAGACTCCCTAGAAAAACCCATTCAGTGCAGGACCTCTAGCTTGCTCTGAGAAATTGACCCCTAAGGTAAACCAACCTCGACCAACAACAGGTGATGCTCCAATCCGAGAAAACTCCCCTCCAAGCAGCTGGTACAGAACTCTCATTTCAAAAAGAACCCCAATGAGGAGCTGGAATGAAATAGCTGCAAGTTAAAAAAAAAACTGAAAAGACTGCTGCCACAGGAAAAAGAAGGGACAAAAGCATGGAAGGTGGGGTGAAGGGGAAAAGGACAAGTCTGAATAGAAAGCATAGCAAGCACATCATTTTGTCCCAAAAGACCCAAAATGGCCAACTGCGGTGTAACCACTCAAGCATGAAGCTGCCTGTTTATACTTGCCACTCCAAAAATTAAATAAAAAATTTAATAGAGGGAAATTCTAGCTAAAATAGAGATCCAGCAAACCCAAATGTTACAAGCTTCAGGTTAGAGGGTAATACCTACTCAACAGGTGTCATAGTGGAGACAATACAAATGACCATCAGCATGTAGGAAAATTTATGGACTGCCGTCAAACTCGCAATTAGCGAGTTCTGGCTTGTTATGCTACACCAATGACAAGCAGGGCTTATCAGAGCCTGGAGGTGAAGACCACGCACAAAACCCAGTCATTAGGGCTGCTCATCTAAAGAAACTGATACTAAACATAGTCCTTTGGAGAAACTCAGCTACAAAGAGCATCAGCGGCATTCTGTTTGTACAAGCATGCAAACCCTAGTGCACCCCTTTAGTTGATCAACTCCAGAACTCACCTATCCTCAGAGCCTTGGAGAGGAGTCAAAGATTCTTGCACTGCTCAGGGCAAAGCACACGCAGGAGGACGGCCTCTCAAAGAACAACACCCAAACACACCAAGGAAGTAACCCTATCAGGGCAGGGGTAACACCAGTAAGTACTTAGGGAAGGGGTACCATAGGCATATTCAATTTGAGGTGAACTGTAGCCAAAGTTCACACAAGTGAGGCTTGTAAACATATTCAATGAACCAAATACTGAAGAATGGAATGATACACAAGTCAATTGGCTCCCGCAGGACAAAAAGTCTGAAAAATGGCCAAGACCTATCTTGGAAAAATCCAGGACTTAAAGAACTGGTGACTCCATGGCGTGAGCATCTTCAGTGGAGTGGCACTGCCACTTGGTGATGTGCAGCAGTAACTAGGAGACAGGGACCTAACTATCGAATGAATTATTTGCTGTCTTCTGTTTCTGGGGCTTGATTTCTCGGTGTGGGTGATCATGTATCCCCTACTCTCTGTGCCTCTTTGAAATTTATGCAAGATATGACTATTAATTTCTGGTAATCACCTAAAAGTACTGTTTCACTGTACAGTAATTTTGATGTGAGAAATATCTGGCATAGAGATAATGCATTACTGTACATACAAAAAATACACAAAATTCTCAAACGAAATGAAAAAAAAACATAATCATCACTAGAAAATTATGCACGGATCTAGTTCCAAAACAAATGAGAGGTAATGATGTTATGATAATACACACTGAGACTAAAGCTGGAGCTTGCAGTGCCCCTCTGTTTTTCATGAGGGTCCAAGTGTTATCTCCCCCTTTCTGAAACCTCACCACCCTCGATATTAAGTTTTATTATTTTTATGAATTAAATATTCGTCTAAATAATTAAAATTAAATGCATGAAGCTACTTAAAATTAATTCATACATTTTAGAATGAAAAAGTATAATGGAGCCAGCAGTATTTCTACATTAACTAAATAACTTGAAATATTTGCAATAAAAAACATTAAATGACTTGCACTACCCACATAAACTTGCAAAGTACTTCTGCATATGACCTTCAGTCCTTCATGTTACAGTGCCCAGTTAAATGTCCATAATGAACGTACATTATTCAAATTTTTCCTCCATGTTTATAGTTTACTTTTGTTTAAAAACTTTCTCTTTTGGTATTGAAGAATATCACCAATCTCATACAACATATATTTCTTGTGGTTATAACATTATCTGAGTTTTATTCCATACCTCAAATAATTTTATGCCAAATATCTTTCCACATTTTCATTACATTATCACTGTCTAAACTACATCAGTCTTTATCAGTAGGGGACACCATTAATGTTCTAATTCAGTCTATATGCAAATGATTTTTTATTTGTCCTTACAGTATTTACATTAACTGTTCACACATTACTTCTATAACTATGGTACATTTATATTATTTTTCAATTAAACTCTCAAATTCCTAGTCACCATCATTACAATAACTGCACACTGTTCAAATTAAGTATTTCAGTAATATTATGTGAAGAATATTTATCTGCACTCTTATAAAAGAATATTTTAATAAACATTTATTAGCCTAATTCTCAGTTAGTCATTTATTTTAATACACATGTTTAAATAATATTTGTGCAAACTTCTATATTTACTGCAGCATTTGCCTTACCATAAACTACTTTAATTAATTTTTGCTGCTTTCATTGTATACTGACCTTATACTCCAAGCACGTACATTCTAGGCCATATTTAAAAAACTATTTGGTGACACAGCTGATGACTAGATTGTTATTTATATTTTACATATGTATTTTAATTCATTTAATAATTCATTGTCATGGGACAGGCAGCCAGTCTATGTATATACATGTTAGGCTTAGATTGAGCTTCCCCCCCCCCAGGTTCGAATTATTAACCCACCTCAGGATGCATCCCCACAGCAAGACAACTAACTCCTGGGTACCTATGTACTGCTAGGTAAATAGAGGCATTAGGTGATAGGAAAGTGCCAAATCATTGCTGCCCCACCCGGAATTCGAACCTGGAATTCCCGATTGTTAGTCTAAAACAAACCCGACCACTATTATTTGAGAATACTAAATGTTTTGTGTTTTGCAAAAAAAAACTATTCTCAAATAAGAAGAAATACATGCAAATTACAATCAAATTTAAAGACCAATTTGACCATCATTTGGTATTATCAAAAGTCATTCTGAATATAGTTATTACTGTAATTTATAAATTAATTTACAAAATATATATTATATGAATAAATGTGAGTGTTGTAGTGTTGTACTGTAATTATGAGAACATGGTAGTAAGTTGTACCAAAAGTATGAAAGCCCAAAAGCCAGCTTTAGTTGGTTGGAAAAGTTAATGCTTAAAAGTTTTGAATTTTTGCCAATCCTACCTAACAAATTGATAATTTTAACACATTTTCTTTTAAACTAATTAATAACTTACTCTTTTATCAGTAATATTAACCAAATTTTCATACCTATGGAAAGCGTAATGAGAATTCAGCTGTACGGTACAACAGTTATTTTACAGTACCTGTGTCTCGGACACGACTGAGCACTGGTGTGGCCGTCCCTTTTCTCCTTGTGTTCGTAGGATGTCTCTCATATAGGAACTCTCACTTACCAAAAGCTAGAGCTGATGATAGGCTTCCTCACCAGAAACTAGTGAGCAATCAGGCGCAGGCGGCAGCAGAGAATATGGGCGCCGAGTACTACAGGACCAGAAAGGTTTGTCCTGCCTGCTACTAGGTCTGGAGGTTGTACTGACAGTTGCTCACTTATGTTCTTGAGCTTCTGCAAAAAACACACTATATTTTATTAATAGAATAAATGGCATTTTTATATTGCAAATATTTATTCTCTCATATTTTTTTGTTTTAAAGATGATGGTTCTCATTGCATATTTATTTGTAGTGAAAAAATTAGTTTGCTCTTATCTATTTTTGTATTCCTGTACAAATTTTAAACATGTAGTTGTATTGTTACAAGATAGCTGTTAATAGTAATTTTTTTCAATACTTTTCAATTAGATAAGTATCAGTTAGTAATACTTTCAATAATTTGTTTTTAATTGCAACTATTTTAATAGAGTATGGTACAACTTCCACTCCTGGTAGATGTAAATGTTGTGATAGTTCCAACAATATGGTTCAAATATGGCTGTATCTCGCACTGTACTGGTTATTCCCTGATGCTGTACTGGTTGTATTTTGTACATAAATATTAGTCTATTAGTCAGTAGTTTTATTGAGGTTTGAATGGTTATAAACTGTATGTAGATATACTGGAGTTAGGTGTTTAAAATTCAGTTCAAATGTACATATAAACACACACATTCAGAGAGTTATTGTATTGGGTAAATCTTCCAAAAAAAATTACATATTTGTACAGTATTTTGAACCAAAACTCATAGCAACCTGACCTAACCTAAATAAATAGATTAATAATCTGTACTGCCTAATATTAGTAAAATGTTACAAATATTTAATTTATAATAAGGTACAATAGCAATTAAACATTTTTGCTATTGTAATCTACAAATTTACAATATATATATACAGACAACCACATGCTTTAGAGACACTTCTGTTCTGATTATGCCTGTTTTGGATTTGTCTGATTGAAAATAAATCAGCATTGAATGTAATAAAACTCATTTTCTGGGTGAGACCTGGAGGCTCCCTGGAGCCATACCGGGCTGATGTGTATATATTAGACTGTGGCATTCTAATATATACAATATTTACAATCGATGGAGTTCTAGGCCTACTGAGGACCAGCACCAGAATCTAGCCCCCCTCAGAAGAGGCACGAGGAGCAATGGCTTATGGACACCCCCATGTAACTGAAACCAGTCTATGTCTGCCATCTATCAGGTCAGGCTCCCAGAAAGGTAGGAATTCCAAAACAGACTGCAGCTGGTTAAAAATTGCAAGCCGATAGCCGAATTAGCAAGCAGAATTCCCCAGTCGAAAACAAACAAAGACGCATGACGTCATCAGAGCCGCCGCGCTGCTGTCTGCGCAACTCCCTCTCCCCAGGAGGGGAAAGGGGGGATCTCATACCTCACATACCGGCTACCCAACTTCAGTTCAGAGGCTGAATATCAAAAACTAAAAAAAACGCTGCCCAGAGGGAAGGAGGGATGCCAGAGAGCTTCTGGGTATCACCCAGAAAATGGTGTTTCATTACATTCAACACTGGATTTCTGTGGAGAGCCCCTTTGGCTTCCCGGAGCTACCTAACCAAAGATATAGGAAAAGAGAGACTTACCCTGGAGGCGGCTGCCACTCGCTCCTCAACTCGACGTCGAGATAACTGGCTGCAACCTGCAACCCAAGGCTACACACGCCTGAGAAGGGCCAGGAACATTAACAAGGTACTGTGCGGTCAGGACCCTGTTCGACCTCCAAAAGCCTTGTGTCCAAATGTCAGCCCAAGACATAATACCGAAAACAGCAGCCAAAGCTGCGAACTTATGAACATCGTGGCACGGGGATAGACTGCAGGCTGGCTGGACCGAATAATCCTGCAGACATCCTGGGAGACCTGCACCCTGGAACAGGGAAGAATGGAAACCAGGTCCACCCAAAGCACATCCCTGTCCATTCCATGGACAGGGGAATTAAATGGGACAGGCCGTCAGTCGGTACATTTGACACGCCCAGGACATGAACTGCCAGGAGAGCCAAAACACCAAGAACTCAGCAGGCAAATGATCCAGTGTGAACAACCCCAAAGGGCAAAGGACCACATCGAACCCCTGCAGTTCAGACAATGAACCACAGGAAAGCAGTCTAAATGGAACCAGATCACCAGTCCGCGAGCAACGCGAACCCTCTGAAGCGAATGGCACACGATCGCAAACTCCCGTGTCGTGATGTGAGCCTGACGGAAGGACAGACTCCACTGACCCTGGCCAGCCTGGTAAGCACTGGTCACAAAGCTGCAGCGTGAGACGAGGCAACCGTGAACACATCGAGCGAGGGCTCGGGTAGGCGCCACGAAACAGAACCCCGAAAAACTGGCGATACAACGAAACCGATGATGCAACAGCTGATGCAAGTCCCCTGGCGTCCGAACCCAATGATCGTGAGAGCAGCAGAAGAAATGTCCCTGAAGGAACCAGAACAGCCGCCAAAGCCAGATCCGACCCGACAGGTAGACTATCACAGCAAAGTTCAGACTCCCGCACAGCTGCTCGAACAACCAACGTATGACTCGGGTGCCCTCTAAAAGCAGCTGTAGATGGGACTGCAGCTGCAGCAAACTAGCTAAACTAGCAAATTTAAACTAGCTAAACCCAAATGCCGAAGAAATATAAGAAAATTCACTTTCGCAAACAGAGGGGTAGATGGTTGGAACAAGTTAGGTGAGAAGGTGGTGGAGGCCAAGACCGTCAGTAGTTTCAAAGCGTCATATGACAAAGAGTACTGGGAAGATGGGACACCATGAGCGCAGCTGTCATCCTGTAACTACACTTAGGTAATAATTACACTTAGATAATAATTACGGAGGTAGCCTCCTGAGCAGCCTATGGAAGATAACACTAAACCGCAAAGGCAGTACATACAGGGCACCTAGGGAAGGTGGCCCCTAGGTGCATGCAGTCCCAGTACTCTTATTTACTCCTGGGTTGCACACCACCACACAGTAGAACACCACTGCTATGCAGCACTGCTCAAAACGATGGAGCCAGAGTCGATCAACCGTCACTAAACACAACAGCCTGTAAACTGAGTTTTGGTAGCTTGTGTGTGAGGTTTGGAACCCCCCCTTCCCCCTCCCGGGGAGGGGGGAGTTGTGCAGACAGTGGCACAGCAGCTGTGGTGATGTCATGCTTGTTTGCTTGTTTTTGATTGGGAAGTTCTGCTTGCTAGTTGGGCTTTCGGTTTGCAATTTTTAACAAGTTGTAGTTTGCTTTGGAATGCCTACCTTTCTGGGTGCCTGACCTGGTAGATGGCAGACACAGACTACTTCCAATTACATGGGAGTGTCTATAGGCCATTGCTCCTTGTGCCTCTTCTGATGAGGGCCAGGTTCTAGCGCTAGTCCCCGGTAGGCCTAGAACTCCATCGATTGACTGTTGCCATAGTCTAATGTAAACACATCAGCCCAGTATAACTCCAGGAAACCGAAGGGGCTCTCCACAGAAAAACAAATAAACTGTTGAGGAGAGTGGGTGGTCCAAATAGAAATTTTCAATACAGTGAAAAGTGGGAGTGGTACAAGTACTGCAATATCTAAGGATACCTCATCTGGATTGACAGAATTTCAAGCTAGAGAGATTGTCAGGGTGAACAGGCTATTAGGCTAGATAGACTGTCAGGCTAGACAGGCTGTTAGGCTAGAAACCGACAGGCTTTCAGGCTAAGCAAACAGGAATTCTAGACAAACTTGTCATGGTAGATTGGCTGTCAGGCTAAACAGGTTTTCAGGCTACACTTGGTCTCCTGAATATTTCAAGCAAGGTTAACCCCATTTGACAAAAAAAAAGTTATGCAATTTTATCTTTGGAGAGTTTAATCTATTTTTTATGTGAGTGTTGTTTAGAGCTTAGGATATTAGAGATGGTTTTTCATGTGCTTTTCATGTTTCCTTATCCTTTGTTAACCAATGTACTGCACATTAGTTTAATATGACAAGTCCCCTGTATGCATAAAATTAATTATTTCCCCTCAATTTTTTTCTAATTTTGTTAAAATGCACTTCCTGATCACAGGAAACTTTAATAAATATTGTATGTGACTTACTCTGGTTATGTTTGAGCAGGATAGTTCAGCAATTGTTATATTTGTTTTTGTATTTACATATACAAGAGTTCTTACATTCTTGTAAAGCCACTAGCATGCATAGCATTATGGGCAGGTGCCTAATCCTAACTTTTCCCCGTAATGTGACCTGCCAAATCGCTTAACAACCAGGTACCCATTCACTGCTGGGTGAACAGAGGCTACAGTTAAGGATTGGTGCCCAGTCAATCCTCCCTGGCCAGAATTCGAACCTAGGCCAAAGCACTCTTGCGAAGCACTAGGCAAGTGCTTTACCACTACAACACAGGGACTGCAACACCACTATGCCACAGGGAATTTATGGGTGTTGAGTACTTGCTTGTGTTACAGTAACCCCAGCAGATCCATGGACTTGCAAGTTACTGTGAATATTATTTTATATAATTTTCTCAGTGTCTCTGACTATTTTTTGTTCAGGTTTGTTGTAATATTATTCAATAGTGTGTAATTTGATAAATTTATATAAACAAATGTGTGGAACATTGTGTGCTCAGAAATATGGTGCGCATATCTTAGACACATTATATTTTTAGAACAATAAAACTTATAATTTGTTATCAAAGTTCCATTTAGTCCTGCATAGTTTACATGAACTTACATAGGATGCATTGAATATACAAAAGTTCCTTAGTATTGTAAATGTTTTTAACATGCTTATTTCAAATGTAATACTGCATTGGGCTGTCAGTAGTATTATTTGTTTCACAGAATATTTAGAATATTGCTAGTCACAGATATAAAGTATTAGTGTCACATACTAGTATTTCAAATATTATAGTCATTGAAAAATAAAGCATACAGTTTTTGCTGGTATTACATTATATACACACGCATCATATACTGTTTATCTATCTATCAACATTTTTATGTACCATATTGAACCAATAAGCCGTTCTGATGGGTGTGGGGATAAAATAAAATCACAGTATGGCGCCA